CCACCAGATCTCCCTTCTTCGTGACACCCACACTTCCTTGTCGAGGCTGCACCCTGACATAGGACCTCGACAACTTAGGGCTCTTCTCTGAAACCAGAAAAGTTCTATACATCAGAGAAGACTGCTGGTAGTGGTAGGGCATGTAGGTAAACACAGGATACCTATAGTTTGGATTCAGTTTGGGATATACAGTAATAACTACCAACCCTGCAGAGTCCTGGTATGGCACTCTAGGATAAAACTGGACTACTAGCCTCAAGGCCAGTGGGTTCAAACCCACCAGGAGCTCTTCAGAAACCCTATGTAGGGTCACTCTGAATTAGAACTCAATGACACCTAAAAAGAAACACAACTACCACTCCACAAAGCATAATTCTATTCAACCATGTGGGGTCACCATGACTTGGAAATGCCTCAATGGCAATTAGTGCATATACATCTATATATAGCCGATTAGAGCAGTCCTGGAGTCCTGGTGTGGCACTGTGGGCTAATGCGTCAGACTGAAAAGTTATTTGAACTGCAAGATTGGTGGTTCAAGCTCACCAGCCCCTCATTGGAAACCCTACACAGGATGGCTAAGGGTCAGAACCGACTCCATGGCACTTAACAACAACAATAACATATTGGAGTCCTGGTGTGGCACTACAGTGTAAATATGGGACTGCTAACTGCAAGGTTGGTGGTTCAAACCCCCTCACCTGACCCAGTGACTCCTTGGAAACTCTATACAGGATCACTATGAGTCAGAACTGACTTGATGGCACTTAACAACAACATAATCAATGAAACTGCACAAAAATGAAGTAAACACTATCATTAGCTTCATCTGAGAGATGAAGAAACTGAGGAACAATAAAATCACATAAATTGAGAAAAGATGTGAAAAACAACAACAAAAAGCAAGTATCTCTCATTAGAGAGATGAAATATGAGATACTGGGTGAGAATATTGAAGACTGAGGCTCCCAGGGAACAGAGCCATCAGCTTGCAAGAAGCTTGTTTCCCTTGAGAGAGAGGGCTCAGCAGTGTCCACAGTCAGACCCGGAAAGGCCTGGAGCAGTCCAATAGCTGCCACCTCCTCCTTTTCAGCTGAGGACACTGAGGGGCTTCCTGCAGTCACACAGCTGACAGGCTGAACCAGAGCAAGCACGCCTAACACGCATCACCTCACAAGACCTCACGTGGATTCAGACAAGCTGGACCTCCCACGCTGACTTTCAAACACAGAGCAAAACCAGATGGTATCTCATCATGTAGAAAATGGTCAGAGGGTGTTGCAAAACAGTCAGTGGATCCTTCCAAATGAACCACCAATATTATGGCTTAATAAAACAATGCCTTATTTATTTTTGAGAAAAATTTTTTTCTCTTGAAATGACAGGTTGCCTCAGAAGATACACTTTCTCAACAAATAGACTTTGTTCATCTTCTTTAGTCTTGAAAACAAAACATTCCCAAGAGCTGAAAACAGAGTAATACAGGGAAATTTTAAGGTACAATGAGCTGATCTGAAGTTGTCATGTGGGGAAAACAAAAGCATTATCTGTAGACTTCTTGTTAGCTGGCTCATGGTGATCCATACACAACAGAATAAAATGCTTCCTGACATGGAGTCATCCTGTGA